CAACTTCCTTTGTTACTTCAAAATATTTATACATTATTAAATTAGCCAATTCATACCAATTTAATTTGCTTTGACGACACCTCTCTTTATTATTTTATTGTTTTCAGTTTATTTGCACCCTTAATTCTTTTGTCGACTTAAAGATATGGTAAATCTGAAATTTAAGTTGGTTTGATCCTCCATTACTCGTTTTCAGGTGTATGTTATTGCTTCTCTAATGTCTTCAACCCCAGTATTCATCTGGTGGAACTGAAAGCTACAGGAGAATTATTTGCTATAAGGGCAATGGGAAGTCAGTCATGTTGAATCGTAACAAGCTCTGCTAATTGCTTAAATTATTTTGATCAAAATGCAAAATTGCCCTTTTGATGTGACTCCATCTGACCTACAAATTGGTACATACCTATGATGGTTGGACACGGAGGTGTCCCACACATGCATGTTCAAATTTTCTAGGTTTTTCCATGCTCAAGAAAAATAAATTGTTGAAGCAAATAAATCATAAATGGACATGCATTTCGATATTTCGAGTAGACATGCAGAATTGGCTGTAGATATGTACGCATGGTTTTATACTAGTGGTATGAATTTAAGAAATTATATTAGAAATTTAGGGGATGTGAAATTATAAAATGTTAGGGATGCAAAATTAAATTATCAATAGAAAATACAAAAAACATATAATCATATAAAATTTGAAAATTTTAAAGATGTGATTAGTGATTGATCTGTCCCTGATTCGAGTCCGGCTTGGTTCCTTTACAGGTACATCGAGCATGCGTTGAAAGGGAAATCATCTCACTTCTTGATCATTCTTTCCTTCCCTCAGTATACTCTTCCTTTCAGGTTTCCTGATATTCACCCTTTATTCCTCCAATAACTTTATACAATTTATAGAAGAAAAAAAACCTTTATACAATTATTTTTGGACGCTTATGTGGGTAGATTGATCATCCTTTCCTTCCCTCATTATACTCTTCCTTTCAGGTTGCCTCATATTCACCCTTTATTCCTCCAATAACTTTATACAATTTATAGAAGAAAAAAAAAACCTTTATACAATTATTTTTGGACGCTTATGTGGGTAGACTGGGTTGGCTTATGTAGAATTGATTGATCTTTCGATGCAAATATACTAAATCGTAACTATATGTTCTACAAACAATTTAATAATTGTTATTTATGGTATTTAACATGTTAAATTGATGCTGGAATTGAATTATTTTTTAAAACAAATTGATGCTTGTTTGATAAGACTTTTGCCCTGGTGGAGAGTTATTTGCCCTGCTCGACAAGCAACCTATGAAAATGTTCAAAGAAGAATCTGCAAGGTAATAAGCTCTAGAAAAACCCGTTTTTCTTATTAGAACTTGAATCTTTGCTTGTGGAATTTAATCATCTCCTCATAAAATGTGGGCACTAGGATCTTCTCAGACAGAAACAGATTGATTCCTAGTAATCCTCCTACTGTCTGATGTCATTGGTTTTCCAGGTTCTATGCAGCTGAGGTTGTCATTGTTCTGGAATATCTTCATTGTCTAGGTACCTTAATAAACTCAAAACAGACAGATTTGTCAATAATGACACTTCTTTTTTCGTTAACCTCGATTAACTCAACAGTTGCAATTATATAATTTCACTCGTTAATGGTTTATAACAGGATGGCCACATCGTATTAACCGACTTTGATTTATCTTTTCTGACTTCTTGTAATTCCAAAGTATGTCATTTTTCATTTTATTTTTTAATGTTTTCACTTGGTATTTGATAAGATTGTTGATAAATAATGATAATTTTTTGCATGAGATTAAAGCTTATAGTGATTTACAGGTTTTAAAGCACCCCATGCCTAATAAGAGAAGAAGATCTGGAAGTCAACCACCTCCAACATTTGTTGCAGAACCATCTACAGAGTTGAATTCATTTGTTGGAAACCGAAGAATACATTGCTCCTGTAAAATGACTATTCAATCCATGCTTTGAAGTTCATAAGTTCAACTCCATTTATTTTAGTTGCAACAAATAATTTGTTCCTTTTCCTGTTTCTTGCTTTCAGGAAATTATTACCAGTGTGGGACACAGTAGCACCATTGATTGGTGGTCTCTTGGTAAGTAAATGGTGATTTTGTGTAATTCCTTCTAAACTGGTTCTAGAGCACTGCTAATATTCTGTTAAATGACATGCATGGATTTATATTTGGAATTTAGGTATTTTTCTGTATGAGATGCTCTACGGCCGGACACCTTTTCAGGGTAAAAACAGGCAGAAGACTTCCTACAACATCTTGAACAAAGAACTCACTTTCCCAAATAGCATTCCGGTACAATTCTAGTCCATCGAGTACGAATGATTAATAGCACTAGATGATATAACTTTCACCATCTTTTCGAAGATGACATAACAGAATTGCTTGGCATAAAAAGAATCTTTATGGATTTTGAACTACAATATCAGTATGTTCATGCAATTTTAACTATTCAGATTCTCCATATGTTCTTATTGTTTTCTAGATGCATCAGATGAAGTACAAGAACCAGATTCTGTGATATGACTGTTTACCTGTGCTGCTGAACTGAAATGGAGGTTAGTCTTGCAGCTAGGCAGTTGTTTAACGCATTGTTAAACCGAGACCCCTCCAGCCGTTTAGGGTCGAGAACTGGCGCCACTGAAATTAAACAACACCCTTTCTTCCACGGCATTAAGTGGCCTCTTATACGCTACACGGTAATAACACTTCCTGCTACATTAGAAAACTGAAAAACCAATTCAAATGGTAAGAAGATACCTTGCTTTTAATCTTGTTGCTGCTGCTTCTGATACATTGTTTTGATTACTGTTTTTTATTTGCAGAGCCCACCGCCATTGGAAGTACCTCTTCATTTAACCACGAAAGATACAAGAACCGAAGATGTAAACTGGGAAGAAGTGCTTGTTAGTTCTATTGACATGGATACTTTCTTCTGAAGGTTTGTTAAACAATCTTAGATTTGAAAACTATCAACACAGTCATATGGGTTCTGTAGCAATGCAGATTTACCTTGTTTATAATAATTTCAGAAAGAATTATCCATAGATTCTACTCTTACTATAAACGGGTATAAACTCCTAAAATGGTACATTGCAGTACGACAACAAACAAGATGCTTCCCAGAACTATTCAAGATGAAGCTAGCTAGGTGACAGTACACTTGCTGATTACTAAAAATCGATAAACCAGTCCTTGTTAATATATAGACTATTTTGGCTGGGAGACAGAAGTGACGGGCAGATCAATGTCATATCTTTAAGTCAGTTACTTGGAGGAGCTTCCTGGTGAAAAACGCCATAGTGAAGCTGTACCATGAACTTGAATTGATACCGGGAGTTAAATACTAAATTTAAGTGCTATGAGATTTTGCTCAATGAAAAGAGAGATAGTTGATATGAAACTCTGAGATTAGCAAAACCGAAACCCTAACAAGCCATATGAAGATAGTTTGGCCTAATTCTTCTGGGATCAAAGACATAAATTTGTTCCAAAGCACTTGACATGGAAATCCAAATTGTATCTGAAAATGGTTCTTGGACTTACATCAACCTCTTTTTCACTTTTTTACCTAGATCTTATCCTCATTCTTTCTAGATTTAGCAAGTATTACCAATATGACATAATTGCTTCAACAAGCCAACAATTGCATGTTTCAGCTCTCCTCAACAGAAAAGCAAAAAACAAAATACAAAGGAAGCAGAATTCAATGATTCACCACTCAAAAATTATGCAGTTGCTTCCTATCTGATAATAGTCAAGACTCGTATGGTTAAACATGTGAATCAGTTAAAGGGAAAAATATTAAGCTAATATCTAATCAACCACATATCCCTAGAAAGTTATCGTCATTTTCTTTATATCTGCTAGCAGCTTAGCCATCATCCATAGCTCCTGCTACCACCAACATCTTCTGCCATTCTTGACATTTATTCACAAAACCTCAACATCTAATATTGCAGAATAATATAGCTATATGTTATGCAACAGAAAAGGGAATAAAATGAGAAATACACTTATCTGAAATTATCAAGAAAGATATCAAGGAATGACCATTTGAAGACTATAGAACGCCTGACCAGAAAAATTACGATTTTCTGTGGACAACAACCATGTGACTCTATTAGTAGAGTGCTGGACTATTAGTTTCTGCAGTCAGGGATCAAACCTTGGCAACCTCAAAACATATAAAGAACAGAACGATTTGCAATGGTTTACACAGCTTAAGGATATGAAATAAAAAATCTGCATGTACAAGTGCTATTATATCAAGGTAAGGGATAATAATTAGGACCTATATTTGCAATGGTGTACACAGCTTAAACAATAAACAGAATTCAAATGTGAATTACCTACTTAGGCATTCTTAGCACTGGACCAGCACTGGACCAACTGATATGAAATGAAAAATCTGCATGTACATTTTCGATTCAAAGAATCTGACAAACTGCATGACTGCACCTTTTTTCCCTTGAACTGGAGAGTGGAAATATACTTATAAGCCTATATTCCAATCTATACACAATTGATGGTTCACGCTATCAGACCTATTAATCTTGCTTCCCGTGAGTTCAATACTAATCAAATATTTAATATTTTTAAGAACTTCCTGTACATTCGACTGTTGAGATTTAAAGCATCTGTTGTTCCTCTCTCCGTAGCAGATATACATATGCTGTCCAGGCAAGCCTCAGAATTAAGATGATTTCCATGTTTCCCTTTTGCTTTTGTTTCTCTTCAACAGTTTAAGGGTAACTCATTTATCAAATCAGTCTGCCACATATATTCTAATATGATTTTAGTTTTTTTTCCCTGTAATGTCTACAGTTTAGGACACAACATACCAACAATTATCTGCAAAGATGCCATCATTGTTGCATTGGCCTTATCATGCAGATAACAGTTGAAAAATATACCAACCAACATATTCAGGCAGCAAAATACAAAAATAAGTCGTATAAAGAAAAGAAGAGGTAACATCAAATTCATTAAGACTATGAAGCTTCCATATTGTAGATGTGAACAAATAACAGGAAGCCAATAAAAAGTGGCAGGACAAAGAGACTTACGAAATTCAGGAGCCTAACAAATGAGGATAGCATTAAAAAAAGAAAATAAAAGAGGATTTAGAATGTTTTCTTCCCAAATATTGCTTCCCAAACCAAAGGGGAAAAAGGTGCTTTCTTGTCCAGAAACTGTCTAACAGCTTTATCATTAACCAAAAATCCCTTTTGTTTTAAAGTTCCAATAACCTTCTCTGCTTCTTCCACGCCCTTCTCCTTACACAACCCCTCAACCAAGCCCACAAAAGTGGTGACATTTGGAGAATGTCCGGCATCCAGCATTTCCAAACAAAACTCAATGGCATCATCCAAGTGATTACATTTATACAATCCTTGAATCAGAACACTATAACTAAAGGCATTGGGAACCACACCTTTTGATTGCATCTTCCTGAAAATTCTCTTTGCATCATCAAGTTTGTGTGCTTTGCAGAAGCCATCAACAACAGCTGTGTATACAACAACCTCCGGGATTGTACCCTTTTCCCTCATTAATCCGAAAAGCTTCATTGCTTCTTGGATAAGCCCATCTCTACATAGACCATCAAGCATGGCTACAGCATTGGGGATAAGACCATTTTCTTTCATTTTCTTGAAAATCTCATCAGCATCCTGTGGCGGGGAAACCTTTTCTTCATGCTTTTTCCTATATATTGCTTCTGAATGTGAGGGCAGTTTTTCTCTCTTGTTATCAAGCCCAAGCTTGAACCTTTCCAGGAAGTTCACATCAGATTGAGAATCTTCTCCCTTCCTTATATTATCGGAAGCAAATCTGGGCATGGGGTGCTGAAACGAGGAACCATTACGATCAAAGTTAGCTCCTTTGGTTTCTCGAGAAGAGGAATTGAAAGGCCTTTGACCCCTTAAAGGCCTATTGGGAATACGTTGAGGAACCTCATCTTCGTTCTCATTGCTATTAAAACCGACGGCTTCGTTTCCTCTGATGGGTCGTCTTCTATCGCTGAAAAGGCGCGTTTGCAAGAGATATAACGAAGGAGATGCTCTTGAAATGGAGTAATGAGGCTTCAAGGTGAAAATCTTCATCAGCTTCGCGAAAACCCACCGAGACTGTGATGATTCCATATTGTTGCACTGGTTTCGAGTACCGTCGAAGGATGTTCTTTTATTCTTCAATTCAACGAAACAGCTATGGGTTTGACAGGGGATGAGGTTTTACGCTGAGATGAGTTGGGTTTTTGCGCCCAGAAGTACCAAAGGTTTATCTTTTCCTTTTCAATTCAAAGTAACTGCTATGGGTTTCACAGGGAGTGAGGGTTTAAGCTCAGTTAAGTTAGGTTTTTGAGCCCAAAAGGAAAGAGATGGAGGGGAAAAGTTCAGAGAAAACTATTAAAATGGTCCCTTTTATTTCATATGTACTCACTTTTACTCATTGAATTTTTAAAATTAGAGTTTTGATCACTTATATTTTTAACATTTTGGTCACATGGATGTTAATTTGTTAAATGCCTTTAGTTTGATGTGAGTTACGTCAATAAAAGAGATTAATTTTTAATTTGACTCTTAAATTTTAGATAAAATACTAATTTGACTCCTAAATTTTAGATTTAATATCTTTTAAATTTTAGATGAAATATCAATTTAACGCATAAATCAATCAATCTCCTGTCACCAATCACCGCTTGTTACCATCGTCCATCACTGCGACCACCATCAATCATCACCACTAACGAACACAAAATTTTAAATTCACTTTTTTCCCTCATGAACATAAGTCTAATTTTTGTTTCATCAAAAAAATATTTAAAGTCCATAAATTTAACATGTAATCCTTGATTTTGTTTAAAATTAAACCAAAATAATCAATTTATCGTTTATATTCTATTAAAAATAAAGAAACCAAAATATCCTATCTAAATTTTGTTGAACTATGTTTTGATATAACAATTTAAGGCAAAATGGTTTTTGGACTTGAATTGAATTTACAAAATGTTTTTGGACTTAATTGATTTTATTCAAAGTTTTAAAAGGTTTCAAAAATAATTCAAAGTTCATTAAATTCAGATTTGAGCCAAAATGCTAAAGGGTGTCAAAGTGCATCCATGCACCCCTGCAGTGCATCCATGCATCCTGATGTGCATCCATGCACATGCACTAGTGCATCGATGCACCATGCAGTGCATCCATGCACTCAAACACCGAATGCAATTAGTGCATCGATGCATCCTTCTGTGCATCGATGCATCCTTCTGTCCATCGATGCATCAAGGAGAATTTGAGGTATCTTCTAACTCAAATGAATTTAATTCATTTACTTTTGATGAGTTATAAGATGCTTATAATAGGTTGTATTTGGGATTTGAGACCATGAATTCCAAATATACGAAATTAATTTCAAAACTCAAAATTGAAAATAAATCGATTTTGAAAGCTAGAGTTGATTTTGAAAATCAAAATGAAATTTTGAAAAATGATTTAGAGCTTTCAAAAATCAAAATAAATGATTTAGAAAAGATAAATTTTGAGTTAGGAGTTAATCTTAAAAGCTTAACAAAAGGAAAAGAATTAATTTTTAAAAACAACCTATTATATTTAGCAATGACAAAATGATCACATTGTCATTTTCATGGTTATAAGGAACATATTTGTCCTTTGAATAAAGGAAAACGTTTTAAAATTAGGCAAGTATGGGTTCCGAAAGGAACAAGAGGCATTGAAACTAACGTTGAAGGATCCAAAGCAATTTGGATACCAAAATCGAAATAAATGTCTCTTGTAGGTGTGAGAGAGCAATAGTGATGATATTCAAGATGTTCTAGCCACACATGAAAAAGGAATGGGTAACCTCTAAACTTAATGATTTAATTTTGGTTATTTGGTTGCTCATTTGATTTTAAGCATGCATGAGTTGTGATATTAAATGATTATGTTTTGTTTTAATCTCATGTATGTTGAAAACAATTGGTATGATGAACAATTTTAGAGTTTTAATAATTTTTCAAAATTTTTAGTTCTTCATAATAAAATTTTGGTCAAAATTGGTTTTAATGCAAATGATATCTCTCTAATAATTTATATCAATTTTTTTAAAAAAAAACTTTGATTTTACAAATTTTAAATTTTCTGACCTAAATTTGAATGTTTATGCAGTGGTTTAAATGAAAATGATATCTCTCTAACAATTGATATCAAAATTTTCAAATTACATAACATTTTTGGAAAACTTTATGCATATGCACTTAATTTTAACAAATGATATTGATATCAAATTTCAACAATTGGTATTGCATAAAGTATTTTAGTCTTTAATATATTGAATTTCATGTGCTACGAACATATTTGTTATTCTTTGTAGAAATTCAATTTCTTTTTAAGTGTCAAGTTCTTAAAACTAAATTTTGATTGGAATGCATTTATTGAGGGGGAGCTTTGATTTTTCAAATGATTTTTAAATAACAAATTTACCACTTACTCTCCAAAGTTATTTTGAACTTCAAAAATCGAATTAATTTTTATATAACAAAAAGGGGGAGAAGTTTGGTTTGAAAAATCCAATTCCTAAATGAAAAAGGGGGAGATTGTTAACAACAATTGTTAACAATTGATATCTTTTTCATTAAACAATTTATTAAGGGGGAGTTTTTCCAAAAACAATTTTTCAAATGTTTTGTTATATCAAGAAGGGGGAGATTGTTGAACTATGTTTTGATATAACAATTTAAGGCAAAATGGTTTTTGGACTTGAATTGAATTTATAAAATGTTTCTGGACTTAATTGAATTTATTCAAAGTTTTAGAAGGTTTCAAAAATAATTCAAAGTCCATTAAATTCGGATTTGAGCCAAAATGCTAATGGGTGTCGCAGTGCATCCATGCACCCCTGCAGTGCATCCATGCATCCATGCACCTGCACTAGTGCATCGATGCACCATGCAGTGCATCCATGCACTCAAACACCGAATACAATTAGTGCATCGATGCATTAAGGCTGTGCATCGATGCACCCTGTTGTGCATCCATGCACGAAGGCTGCAATGGCTAGCAACAACTAGTTTATTTGAATTTAATGAAGGGGTATCGATGCACCTTGATAGTGCACCGATGCACCATGTTATGGGTAGCCTTTTTGAGTAGAAAAATCATCCCCAAATGGCTCCAAAACATCCCCAACGGCTATATACAACATCAAACACATTTCAAGCTATAAATACAAGCTAAGGACACTTGAAGAATAGAGAGAACAACTATCCAAGCAATCAAACACAAGAGAATAGTTTTTCATTCTTATTTCATCTTTCTCTTGTAAAATTTTTGTTCTTGTGAGCTCAATATTGTAAACACTTACCTTAGAGAGGTTTTCTTGTTTATTTATTTTATCCTTTTGTAAAGGGGAAAGGTTCTAGCTTATCCCGTGTAAAAGCTAAAGAAAGGTTCTAGTTTAGCCCGGAAAAACTAGGGAGTTGTAAGGTTATCTCTTTGTCCTCAAAAGAAATAACAAATTAGTGAATTTGTTGGAAAATCCTTGGTGATGAGCTAAGGTAGTGGACGTAGACTTTGGTTTAGAAAGTCGAATCACTCTAAATCGCTGTGCAATTTTCTATCTTTCAATCTCCTTACTCCCTAAACGCAAAAACCATTCCGACCCCTCTTTACAAACCGTTCTGGTTGTCGAATCGAGCTTCCGAAAATCCCAACAATTGGTATCATAGCCTAACTCGTTAAGAAGGTTTAACCACCTTGAGACGATCCTCAAAGAAGCTCTACCAATTTCCAACGTAACTGACAAAGAAATGACTTTTTCCTCCGGTGCTTATTATCTTAAAGAATATCCTATTATGGATTCACAACCGGTCAACAAGCCACCCTTATTCAATGGAGCAAATTATGCACATTGGAAGAATAAGATGATGTACTTTATTCAATCCTACAATCTAGGAGCTTGGAACTCAATCATGGACAGTTACTCCTCTCCACCCCGCAAGTACAACGATTGGAGTAGAGAAGAGCAGAAAAATTCTCTAAGGCTATACATATTCTATTATGTGCTTTAAGCCCAAATGAATATGGAAGAGTCTCATCTTGTTCCAGTGCCAAAGAGATTTGGGATAAGCTCCAAGTCACTCATGAAGAAACCGACGAAGTGAGGGAATCAAAGAAAAGTCTTCTCAACCATAGCTACGAGAACTTCAAGATGAAACCCGATGAAGACATAAAAGCTATGACGGATAGATTTTCTGTGATTGTCAACGGTCTCAAGGGATATGGAGAAGTAATCCCTAATGAGAAGCTTGTGAGAAAGATAATCTACTCTCTTCCAAAGGAGTGGCAATCGAAGAAGACGACCATTATCGAAGCAAGAAACTTAAAGTCTCTCACTCTCGACGAGCTAATTGGTTCCCTTCTCACTCATGAGATGATGGTGAAGGAAGATGAAGAAAGTGAAGAGAAGAAAAATAATAAGAAGAAAGAGGTAATTGGTTCCCTTCTCACTCATGAGATGATGGTGAAGGAAGATGAAGAAATGGAAGAGAAGAAAAACAATAAGAAGAAAGAGGTAGACATTGCCTTCAAATCCACCAATGAAAGCTATCAAGATTCAAGTGATGAGGTGGATGAAGACGATGATGAACAAGAAGAAGAGATGGTCAAGCTCTTGAAGGAACTCAAGAGATTCATGATTTCCAATGAAGTGAAACATGAATCAACCAAGAAGAAGAGTCCTCCGATATGCTTCAATTGTCAAAGAAAGGGGCATGTAAAGTATGAATTTCATCTTCTAAAGAAAAAGGGGAAGAAGGCATTTGTTGCATCATGGAGCGATGAAGATAATTCCAATAATAAAGATGAAGTAGTCAACCTATGCCTCATGGCCACTCAAGAAGAATTCGAGGTATCTTCTAACTCAAATGAATTTAATTCATTTACTTTTGATGAGTTACAAGATGCTTATAATAGGTTATATTTGGGATTTGAGACCATGAATTCCAAATATACGAAATTAATTTCAAAACTCAAAATTGAAAATAAATCGATTTTGAAAGTTATAGTTGATTTTGAAAATCAAAATAAAATTTTAAAAAATGATTTAGAGCTTTCAAAAATCAAAATAAATGATTTAGAAAAGACAAATTTTGAGTTAGGAGTTAAGCTTAAAACCTTAACAAAAGAAAAAGAATTAATTTCTAAAAACAACCTATTATGTTTAGAAATGACAAAATGCTCACATTGTCATTTTCATGATCATAAGGAACATACTTGTCCTTTGAATAAAGGAAAACGTTTTAAAATTAGGCAAGTATGGGTTCCGAAAGGAACAAGAGACATTGAAACTAACGTTGAAGGATCCAAAGCAATTTGGATACCAAAATCGAAATAAATGTCTCTTGTAGGTGTGTGAGAGCAATGGTGATGAAAGTGATGATATTCAAGATGCTCTAGCCACACATGAAAAAGGAATGGGTAACCTCTAAGCTTAATGATTTAATTTTGGTTATTTGGTTGCTCATTTGATTTTAAGCATGCATGAGTTGTGATATTAAATGATTATGTTTTGTTTTAATCTCATGTATGTTGAAAACAATTGGTATGATGAACAATTTTAAAGTTTTAATAATTTTTCAAAATTTTTAGTTCATCATAATAAAATTTTGGTCAAAATTGGTTTTAATGCAAATAATATATCTCTAATAATTGATATCAATTTTTTTTTAAAAAAAAACTTTGATTTTACAAATTTTAAATTTTTGACCTAAATTTGAATGTTTATGCATGTGGTTTAAATGAAAATGATATATCTCTAGCAATTGATATCAAAATTTTCAAAATGCATAACATTTTTGGAAAACTTTATGCATATGCACTTAATTTTAGTAAATGGTATTGATATCAAATTTCAACAATTGGTATTGCATAAAGTATTTTAGTCTTTGATATATTGAATTTCATGTTCTACTAACATATTTGTTATTCTTTGTAGAAATTCAATTTCTTTTTAAGTGTCAAGTTCTTAAAGCTAAATTTTGATTGGAATACATTTATTGAGGGGGAGCTTTGATTTTTTAAATGATTTTTAAATGTCAAATTTACCACTTACTCTCCAAAGTTATTTTGAACTTCAAAGATCGAATTATTTTTGATATAACAAAAAGGGGGAGAAGTTTGGTTTGAAAAATTCAATTTCTAAATGAAAAAGGGGGAGATTGTTAACAACAATTGTTAACAATTGATATATTTTTCATTAAACAATTTATTAAGGGGGAGTTTTGCCAAAAAATAATTTTTCAAATGTTTTGTTATATCAAAAAGGGGGAGATTGTTGAACTATGTTTTGATATAACAATTTAAGGTAAAATGGTTTTTGGACTTGAATTGAATTTACAAAATGTTTCTGGACTTCATTGAATTTATTCAAAGTTTTAGAAGGTTTCAAAAATAATTCAAAGTCCATTAAATTCGGATTTGAGCCAAAATGCTAAAGGGTGTCAAAGTGCATCCATGCACCCCTGCAGTGCATCCATGCACCCCTGCAGTGCATCCATGCATCCCTACAGTGCATCCATGCACCTGCACTAGTGCATCGATGCACCATGCAGTGCATCCATGCACTCAAACACCAAATGCAATTAGTGCATTGATGCATCAAGGTTGTGCATCGATGCATCCTGATGTGCATCCATGCACGAAGGCTACAACGGCTAGTAACGGCTAGTTTATTTGAATTTAATGAAGGGATATCGATGCACCTTGATAGTGCACCGATGCACCATGTTATGGGCAGCCTTTTTGAGTAGAAAAATCATCCCCAAACGGCTCCAAAACATCCCCAACGGCTACATACAACATCAAACACATTCCAAGCTATAAATACAAGCTAAGGACACTTAAAGAATAGAGAGAACAACTATCCAAGCAATTAAACACAAGAGAAGAGTTTTTCATTCTTATTTCATCTTTCTCTTGTAAATATTTTGTTCTTGTGAGCTCAATTTTGTAAACACCTACCTTAGAGAGGTTTTCTTTTTTACTTATTTTATCCTTTTGTAAAATGGAAAGGTTCTAGCTTATCCCATGTAAAAGCTAGGGAAAGGTTCTAGTTTAGCCCGGAAAAACTAGGGAGTTGTAAGGTTATCTCTTTGCCCTCAAAAGAAAGAACAAATTAGTGAATTTGTTGGAAAATCCTTGGTGAGGAGCTAAGGTAGTGGACGTAGACTTTGGTTTAGAAAGTCGAACCACTTTAAATCGCTGTGCAATTTTCTATCTTTCAATCTCCTTACTCCCTAAACTCAAAAACCGTTCCGGCTCCTCTTTACAAACCGTTCCGGTTGTCGAATCGAGCTTCTGAAAATCCCAACAAATTTCAATGGTCAAGTTAATATTTTATCTAAGTTTCAAGGGTCAAGTTGATATTTATCTAATTTTTAAGGATCAAATTGATATTTTATCTTAATTTGAAGGTCAAAATAATATTCTATCTAAAATTTAGAGGTCAATTTAAAATTTAACTTTTTTACTAACATATTATAATGTGATCAAAGAGTTATAAATTGATAATATAAATAATCAAATGATTACTTATTTTTAATTACGGTGAGCAAAAATGAAACTAAAAAGTAGACTTTTTTTTTATCTAAATATCGATAGGTAATATCATTTTTCCAAATTTTATTGATCTAGCACACTTTCTGACAAGGTGTAGATCATCATCGGCGCATTTGCGGGGTTCCATCTAAGCTGACACCATATCATGACAGGCGCGGAAGATCGAGTTAGCGCCACGTAAGAACAGGAACGGATTATCATCCGCGCCTTTGCGTGGTTTCATCTGAGCTGGTACCACATCATGAAAGGCGCGGATCGTCATCCGTGTCTTAGCATTTTAAAAAAATATGCTTTAAAAAATTAAAATAAAATAAAATTATAAGGATTAATATTGTGATTTAATACATATTAGTTTCATGAGTTGAAGAGCTTAATGAGATTAGCTTATATAGACATATTAGAGTGTTTAAGTTATATTTCTTGACAATGTGAGAGAAAAGCCAAAAATATGTATTTCTTGACAATATTTTTAAGTTTTAAAAAGACAATTATTAGATGTATTTTCTCTAAAATCTAAATCAGTAATAAAATAACCTTGGGAAGTGAACTGTATCCATTTTGGAAGAACTTTAATGCATATTAGTTTTTAATTAAAAATTAATAAATATTTTTATATTTTTCTTATTCCCAAATACATATCAACGTCATGTCATTTCCTTATATTCTAGAAATTGATGTCTCGATGTCACCATGTTCGTGTTGTGTACCTGCGTACTATATGCACCACTTGATATTCAACTATAACCAGAATATTACTGAAACGACTTGGGTTGATGTTTAAAATATGAGTGTATTTACATGTTCCATTCATGAAATATTTTTATAATTCATCTATGCTATATTGTACAAATTGCAAACTGAACTTAGAAGATTTAAGACGTGAACTCCTACAAAATCTAAATACATTGTCATAAAAATACACCTTTTAGCTTTTATATCATATTGTCAAGAAACATAACCTAAACATTTCAATATGTCTATATAAACTAATTTCATTACGCTCTTCAACTCATGGGACTAATATGTATTAAATTACGATGTTAGTCTCTATAGTTTTATTTTTTTAAATTTTTTAAAACATATTTTTTTAAAATGTTAAGGTGCAGATGGTGATCTGTGCATGTCCCTACATGGTGCCAGCTCAGATAAAGCACATAATCATCTGTGCTTTTTATTACGCGCTTTGTCAAAAAGGTGCTAGATCGGTAAAACTTAGAGATAGAGTGTGGTGATTTTTCGGTAAAATCGCCTAAAAATCAACTAGGCTTTCTTTCAGATAGTTGCTTCCGTCATCACTAGATTCACTCAGATAGTCTCTCACAGTGTGGAAGAGAAGCTTTGCCCACTCCTGGCTTTCTTTCAAGCATTGGGAATCCCTGAAAAGCAACTAGACAAAATGATATTGCTGAATCCTAGGCTCATCAGTTATAACATTGAATCTAAACTCACAGAAATAGTCAACTTCCTTGCCACCCTTGCCTTGGCCTTACAACAGAAGAGGTGATTGGTAAAGTTTTGGCTAAATACCCGTTTATGAGTCGACAAAAGGCTATGTCCTACATCCAAGTTTCTGAAATCGATTGGTCTGTCCGAGACAGATCTCCAAACAGCGGTCATGAACTTTCCCGAAGTATCGTGTAGAGATGTTAGCAAGATTCTAAGGCTCAATTTTGCATATCTTAGGAGAGTGGATTCGGTGATGGACAGATAGTAGCTATAGTCACCGGCTATCCCCCAATTCTTATCAAGAGCGTCAAGAATTCCTTAGAACCTAGGATCAGGTTCTTGGTTGACGTGATGGGGAGGAAAATCGATGAAGTAGCTAATTACCCCGACTTTTTCCGGAACGGTTTGAAGAAGAGAATAGAGTTGCGGCACAGGCATTTGAAAGAGAAGGACTTCAGTTGCAGCCTTAGTGGAATGCTAGACTGCAATAAGAAGAAGTTTCTATTGAAGTTTGGTTTGTTTAAAGGGCTTGCTCAGGTACTATAAGCCATTAGCCACATTCCCATTCTCTTTGACTATCATTTCTCATATTGTAGCTTGATTCTCACCTTGGTAAATGAAGTGAAATTTGCATGTGTTTTCTATATTTTTGCCATGTTTTTTTTTACCTCCAGTGCTACTGTGAGTATTATATGTAAGCCATTAACCAGAAATCTTCAGACTATTATTGACGGTGTCAACTAATCTCCACAATCCACTAAAAGAAACTAATAACTCAAATTGACAAACTGTGCACCTAAATGGCTAAAGCACATCAATTATACTGTACATAGCTGCTGCAAACCAGAAGCCATTCCTAATTGCTGACAGCATTCAAAGGTGAAGAGAAGCCTAGGGTTGAATACATACTTGATATACGAAATCAGACTGGATTATATCGAAAGTACATAGGAGAAATGTGATGCAGCGTCACATGCTGATCTTTATGTTTTGCACTTTTATTGACAACTGTAGCTTATGGTCTTCAATGTCTTTTAAAACAGAAAGTAAACTTGACCAGTAAACTTCACATTTTTTACTTGCATACTCCAGCTCATTGGCGAGTTCTCGGAATTTCTTGTCCATATCGTCCTAAAAAAATGCAGCAGCCAACATTACTTTTTGCCCTGTTTCTCCATATATGTGCATATTCAATGACGTTCTTTCATAAGTCTAGCATAAAGAAAATGATAGCAAGTAGAGATATATTGTGGAAACTTGATCATATACATCCTAAGAATCATTGAACGAAGTCCTGAAGATAGTATACGTCAAATATCTAAAAAGATACATGATTTAAAGGCAAAATAAGATGGAGTATAGTCAAATTCACTATTCAGCATAATCATGGAGTAGAAAACCTTAAGCAAGCAAAAGATACTATGCTTTGACCTAAACTTGTAACCCGATTGTTGAACAAGAATATGGAATTAGCCATAGGCAAACAAAAGATACCATACTTTGACCTAAAATTGTAACCCGATTGTCAAACAAGAATGGAATTAGCAGGATATATAATGGGAAAAATGGTCTTCTCAAAGAACCCTTCAAGCAAAAGCACAAGGAAACGCAAAACAATTCATAACAAAGCTAAAAAAAACTAAGAAAATAGTGATGAATATAGCTTACAAATTCATCAAGCCGATAATTCCTTTCACTTCAAAGAGCAAAGACAATTGTTAAAAGAATAAAAGATGGAATAAACCCAGAGACATTTTCTTATAAAAATAAAAACACCGGAATATGTGCGCTGAACCTCCTGAGGTAATTATTCACCTTATCCATTCCCACTGAAACTAGTATTTGGGTGGTCCCCATTAAATTGATCATGCAATCGAAAACTTCACAAGTTTACAACACAATTTCTAGACCTAACCATATCTTCAATGACATATCATGGAGCAAGTTGGAACATACTTTCTCAGAAGTGTACAATAAAAACAATTTTATATGCAAACCTTTGTCCTCGAAGAGTTGCTGTGAGAGTGGAGTTGAAGAATAGGGGAGTTCAATTAGGGGAAAACATCCTTTGTCCTCTTTGTAATCAGTTTGAATAAACAGTAAAACATCTATTCATTTCCTGCTCAGTTTCATGGGAACTTTGGAACAAAATTATAGGCTATTGGGGACTGGTTTTAGCTCTGCCTAATGACCCTTCAATTCAACACTTTTCAGCTCCTGGTCTGTTTTGAAACCGAATTCACTTATATGGAAGTTTATCCCCGGGGCAGTTTTTTGGTCAATTTGGAAGGTGAGGAATAACATTGTTTTTGAAAAGGACAAGTTGGACAGATTGTCCTTGTTTTTCATTGCTAAATTCAGGTTAGCCAACTGGTTTTTAGCAAAGTACCATCTTGTTCCTATCCAACTAGACATGTTGATTGGAGACCCTTCTTTGGCTGATAATCTTACTGCTGCTAAGGATCAGAACAGGCCTCTTTTATGTTGGAGCCCTCCTCCAGTTGATTTCTTTAAAATGAATGTCGACAGAGCTGTCAGTAGCGTTAGGTTTATAGGTGGAATAGGGGGTATTCTTACAGATTGGAACGGTACTGTTCTTATTACATTTTCAGACAATATTGGTCCTAGCCCTCCTCCTATAGCAGAACTGAAAGAAATAAAGAGAGGCATCAACATCTTTGTCTCTTCAGAATGGGCGTTGAAAGGAAAACTTATTATTGAGAGTGATTGTAAATCAGCAGTGGATTGGATTAAAGCTTCTTCGCCGGTTCCTATTTTTCTTACAAGTTTAGTCAAAGAGATTGTGTCTATTGTATCAGATAAAGAGATGATTGTAAGGTTGATACCTAGGTATTGTAATTGAGCGGCTGATAAGCTAGCAAAGGAGAGGATTGGTTGATTTAAGGTTTTATTTGTAATTGTTAAGCTGCTTTGGGCACATAGCAGCTGTAACAGAGGATTGTTTAAGTCTTATGTAATTGGTTTATCAATAATATATTAAGACACTCTTTTCCTTATTCCGCTAGATGGTTCTTGCCTAAAGGTAAAGGACTTCTATGAGGGAGGTTTTTAATGAGGCCTACTATTCCTATAAAAAAATAGTAGGATTTATGATCCTCTCCGAACTTTGCCACCTGATATGCTATAATATCATCATCATCGTCTGATTTTGATGCCATGAATGTCAGAGTTCCAACTAGGTCCTCTTGAAATCTCATAAACAGTAGAGGTCTTTCTTTGGCAGGTGCTCTACCAGAAGTTGGCTGTAAAAATTGCCTTATTGAGTCGGGGTGTTCAAGGAATTGAGGATTCTCTTTGTTCGGTCTATGGTTTGGAGCCGGAGACGGTGAACCACTTATTCTTTTCATGCAAAGTTGTTTGGGAGATTTGGGTGTGGTTTCTTCGAATGTGAAATTATGCTATGTTTTTTTCCAATAATCCCAGAGATTTTCTGCTTTTATGGTTGGATTTATATCAGGGTTCGGAAATCTGGAAATTTGTGCCAGGTGCTGTTTTGTGGACTGTTTGGAATTGCAGAAATAATATTGTGTTTGAGAAGGGTAGGCTGGATCAGATTAATCTTTTCTTTCTGGTCAGATATAGGGTGCTTTTTGGTTCTTGGCTAAGAATTCAAATTTTCCTATTTCTCTTGATTGCCTAGTAGGAGACCTTGGCTGATTTGCATCGTCCACCTTCCAAAGACTGTTTTGTCTAAGGCACAGTGGTCTCCCCCCTCCGGGTTTCTTTAAAGTTAATGTTGATGAGACTGTTAATTTTGATTGGATGTGTAGTGGTATTGGCGGTGTGTTTAGAGATGATGAAAACAAGAGGTTGGGGTTTTTCTCAAGATCGTCCTGTCCGGTCCAGGCCCCCGATCCTTGCTGAGATAAAAGCAATTCAAGCTGGTTTAGATTTGTTTCTGAATTCGATGTGGAAGGATAAAGGGTGTCTTATTTTAGAGAGTGATCCAGTGGCTTCGTTGGGTTTCCAGCAAAAAAGGTGTCTCGCAGATATACAGGGATCTAGTGGCTGCGCTCATTGTACATCATCTGAAGCCATTCATGACCCCTGAGTTCATATTGATCTACAAGAGACAACCAACATGACTCAAACTCCTCAATCGATTCAGGCAAGTTAAAACACTTATGGAAATCTGCTTCAAAAGTTGGATGCTTAAGGAACACATGGGACAACTTCTCTTGGTATTTCTTGAAGATGTGCCATTTGCCGAAACGATGCCGGGTCTCAGGGAAAACCTGTGTAATGGCTGACCGAATAACAGCATCATGATCAGAGGTGATAGAAACCGGAGGGCGACCAGACATTGCCATAAACCAAGTCTTGAACAGCCAAACAAACGAAGCTTCAGATTCATTTATTAAGAAAGCACAACCAAACAACACTGGTTGTCCATGGTGGTTTACTCCAGTGAAAGGTGCAAAAGGTAGCCGATACCTGTTCGACGTATAGGTAGTAATAGTATCAAAGGTAACAGTATCCCCAAAGTAAGTATAATTCATCCTAGACTTGTGGTCGGCCAAAACACATTACTTGTCAAAGCTTGATCTTCATCACCCTGAAAAGCAAAAAAGAAATTTGGGTTTTCAGCTTTCATTTACCTCAGATAATCCAAAAGTAGTTGAATATCTCCTTCTAAGCTCCTCTGCCGATTATTCCTCATATAATTCCTACAATCCACTTCTGTAAATCCAACCTTACTAATTCCACCATATTCTTTTATTAAAGCAGACATAATCTTACGAGGCCCCATCCCAGCAGCCTGCAATGTATCAATCAAAGTCTTTGCGGGCCCAGATATTTGCCTGTGAGACCGAAGACAATGAACCTGGTCTGGAGGAACAAGCTCGTGATTATGTTCCCTAACAAATCCAGCCACAACCCATTTCCCAGAATCCTGCACTTTAACGGACAAAGAAGCCTTACATCCCACTCTATTAATGGTACGAGGACGCTTAGTCTCCCTATCTTTTGTTCTTTTTTCATTCAAATTCCTAAACCCTTCTTTAGCACAAACAAATTGTCTCTGAATAATTGCTCCATCGTGCCTAGAACGTCTAGAATAACTTACACGCGTACTAAAACCAATGCGGCGAGCATAAGAATTGTAAAAGGCCTTCCTGCAGGCTTAAATAACAAGTCACTTGTTTGACTGCCTGCTGATACGCATTTCAAGCAATAATTATAGTAAGCCACTTAATCCTAACTTACATATTGCATTCTTCAACCATTTTTATATCCTCAAATCATTATTTTTACCGCATAATAAAAACAAAAGGTTAATTAGGTTAACAATCCTATCATTTGACAGGCTTTTCTTCTTCTTTTTCTTACATATAAAACATAAAAAGAAAAGAAGTACTAAACAAATAAAGGAAGTTACAAGACATGATATCTGCTTAGGTTATTACAAAGAGATGGTCACAGATTGAATACATTTATAGCATGGGATTTGCAACAAACAACTACACAATCATAATATTCATCTAGGAAGAGAGCTTGGAAACATCCTTACTTGATCTATTGTACTTCATATGGCTGTTAACTAGTTGACCAGCTGCAAGGGCTGACATGAGTGACACCTCACCAGCTAGGACAGCACCGGCCACAATGGTTGCAAGCATCCTGGAGTTTGCTCCAGCTACCTCTTTGCTTGCACCTTTGACCCCAAGCAGGTTCAAACAGGCTGACTGAGATGCAAGCTGAGTTCCACCACCAACAGTGCCAACCTAAACAAACAAATCAAACACCACAAACATAATGAAACCAACCCAGCCTTGATAGGTCTAGTTTTGATACACTTCTTAATCAGCCAGAAGATTTTGACATTGAAAATTCTCGTGTTTGATGATCAGACAAGAATATAATCAGTTACCTCAATTGAAGGCATTGTGACAGAGGTATGAAGATCCTTTCCATCATTAACAGCTTCCATCATAGTGATGCAATGGGAGCTTTCGACATTTTGAGCCGGATCTTGGCCAGTAGCTATGTAGATTGCAGTCACAATGTTACTCGCATGGGCATTAAATCCACCCAGAGCTCCGGCCATAGCAGAACCAGTAAGGTTCTTAAGCATGTTGAGCTCCACGAGAGATTCCACACTAGTCTTCAAGACCTTCCTCACCACGTCACCCTTAATGATGGCCTCACATACAACAGATTTGCCTCGTCCTTCAATCCAGTTTACACCAGCTGGTTTTTTGTCGGAACAGAAATTTCCTGCATCCATTATAAATCCATAAAATTCAGTTATCAAGCTCAAACAAAAGACGAATAACATAATTGTAAGTGAAGCTTACCAGAAATGCCGATGACATCCATGTCAGGGAAATCAGTTTGAAGGAAATCCAAAACGTTTTGAACTCCCTTGGAAACCATATTCATCCCCATAGCATCACCGGTACTGCAAGTGAATCTCAAATATAAATTCTTCCCAGCAATTGCACATTTAATGCCTTGAAGCCTACCGAATCTACTTGATCTGCAACCACCCGGAAACTCAAAGTTCTAAATAAACCAGAACAATATTAGCTAGAATTTGAAACGCTCAATCTGGAATCCAAAAATATTCGAACAAACATGTTAAAAACAACTGCCAAAGTATCGAAATTGTGAGGATCTTCCAAATACAACTTCAGCTCAGCTGCCCATTTTGCGGTGCTGAACCTTACAACAGGAGCTCTAGTCATGCCATCTTTCAATAGAATACTTGTAGCTCCACCAGACAAATGAATAGCCTTACAACCCCTGTTAGTACTAGCCACCAAGCATCCCTCCGTGGTTGCCATAGGGACTGAGAACTCTCTTCCATTAAGCAACAATGGCCCAGCAATTCCCACGGGAATTTGCACGTATCCAACAGGCATCTCACAACACTGCCCTAAAATCGAGTCGTAATCAAATCCATCCAATGGCAAACCCGATAATGACTTCCCCGTTAATCTCTGCAGCGCCTCACGCCTGATCGCAGTTGCTCTCTTGCAATCACCTAACTTAGACTCTAAAGAATATGAAGGGAGTGTTCCAGACACCACAGATTTAATTATTTCTTCGTCTTCATCGGTTGTAACAATTACAGGTTTTTCATCTAACAGTGTCCGGGTAGTTGCAACCGGTACCCGAGGTGGCAGTGAAGGAAACGAGCAATCAAGAGCTTGGCCGTAAGGGACTTTAAGGGCATCTTCTTTACAAAGCAAGACTTCATTTTCCTCTTCCTCTTCCTCGTCCTCCGCACTCCAAACGTCACCAGATGGTCGAAGAATCAAAGACTGAACAAAGTCGATCCCCAAGAATCCCAAAAGATAAATCAAAGAGGCGACTAAAGCAAAAATCGCGACGATCTCTGAAAAAGTGACGACGTGGAGAGGAATTGAAGCTCGGATCTTTTCGCGCCAACGGGAAAGAAGAAAATAAACCACGGAGAAGAAGAGTGTGAAGAACACCGCATTCGTTAGATACAAAGGAAGAGGTAATTCGTCAGAAGCTTTGGCGGTATCTTCCACTACAGGAATCCCCTTCGTTTGTCTGACAGCATGAAACGGTTTAGTCTCCGTACGCCAGCGGCCTTCCATTTTAAGCGGCGGTGGAAACGGAATCCGGCGGCAACGGAGGAGGAGGAACAAACGCTTGTGAAACGATTCCAATCCGTGCTGGGAACGGTTTTTGACGAGGTTGAGTGAGCGAGCGAGAGTTCTGGGGGGGGAATATTTATAGGATTGTTGGGGAGTACACGTGTGGGCTCCAAGCGCTTGACGGAAAGAGATATGATAAAAGGCGCGTGGAAGAAAGAGAGAGTCGTTGGCACGTGTTAGTGTTACAGTAACAGATGAATGATGAGTCAAAAGGACAAAAGAGTGTAGTTGTTTCTTATTGCAATTAAAAAGTTTACGTTAATAATAATCAATATTGCTATCTATTTTAATAATATAGGAAAAATAAAAAATTTCAGGAGGTGATTTCAGTCTATTTTTTTATCGAATATTTATATGTGTAGAGTGTGTATATACGGTTAATAAATTAATTTTTTTTAAATAAATACTGACTTGAAAGCCTCATACTATTTTTAAAAAATAGAAAAATTAAATTAAATCAAATGATCAAAATTTAATTTTAAGATAATAAATTTATAATTAGATCTAATTATGGACATAATACTAATATATTTAATAAACATAAATAAATGAATTATATTTGTGTCATGTCAGATTTAGAAAAATTAAATTAAATATTTAAAATAATTAAACTGAAAAATAAATCAATTTTGGTTTTTATGTTTTGAAGCGATAAAATCATCTTATTTAAAAGTTCATAGAACAAAATGGGAATAATGTGAGATTGATTCGAAGGGAAGAATATGTTAAGAAAACAATCCAACAAAATGGCCAGAAAAAGACTTAAAATTTGGAACTACAATGAAAACATGGCACAGATGGCTTTGAAATTACACTATTGGACTTGACCATCAATTCAAAGAATAAAAGAACATTTAAAAAGTAGTTGAGTTTTTGTGTTCATTTTGCTCCACCTTGAATTCCTTTAAAATTTATATTTTAATCTTATCAATTTTTTGGTAATACATATGTAAAGTTTTCTTAACCAAATAACAATACATAATTTCTTTGATCACTTTTTGATATTCATAAATGTTTTAAATTTATATAATTCAATTATACATTAAAACTTATCAAGTGTCTCCCTTGATCAAGAGAATGTTATTCTTTTTTGAAGTCTTGGGTTCGAATAATTATATTTGTTGGAGGTGTGTTAATGAGTATTGAACCTACACTCTAGGGGAAAAGGGAGATGTTAACATATATAAATACATTAAAATATTGTACTTAAAACTAATTAATAGTTATTATTTTTTTAAAAAATAAGTGGTAAAGAAAAGTATTACAAAAAACGAATCTATCATAATGAGATTCCATTGACATTGAAGTTTGATTAAAAAATTGAAAAGCATAATTCATCAAATTCCATCTATTTTAGAAATATAATTAATGTGGGGCAAAGCCAACCTACCATTACCAGATGGCTTATCTTTTTTGGTTACTGGTAGTGCTGGAATGCCCCCATCAAAGATGAAAACAATTCAAAAAAAAAACACAGGGTAATGACGGGGCAGCAGCCAGCCATGAGCCAACCCACTGTCTTCAGGACCTTCCTCATTATCCAGTTTTTAATTATTAACAAAAAGATGGAGTGAGTCACATAAATTCCAGATACATGTGATTCCAAAGAGAAATCAACATACCATAATGACTTTTATAAACAAAATTAGATAATACCTTACAAAGCTACAAATTTTGAAGAATTTCTTAATTTGCTATTGTATGAGATGATAGATTATTGCATTATTATTGGACCTATACCTAACTGGAATATGTTGGTTAGAGCACTTTTGACTTCGCCGGAGCTGTGCTCGATCCGGACAAGATCTACCAACAGGTGATACCGATTTGCCATGTGGTTTCTTAAAGGATCCCTTCCCAAACTGCTCAATGCCTTCAGTGCTAACACCAGTAAACAACTTCTAGCTGCCAATTCTTCCTTTTTACCTAAAGCCAGCGGAACACTCCAATGCGTAACCGGAAGTTTCGCCTCTGATTTCCGCTGCATGTAGTTGTGGTCAGCGTGGTTAAGATATGTCTGTAATATTTTTTCACATACCGCCACAAGTTGTGATTCTAGGTTCATCTCTGCGGAGACTGACGGGTTGTTTTTCAATGAATCTTGGAGGAAGTGGAGATAATTTTTGTAAGCCTTGTTCTCGAAGAGAACCGTAGGAGGATCAGTGAGCTCCAAGATCGAGCATGCTACCCGTAGTTTCTTTCGAAGGGTAGTCTCAGAGTTCAGTTGTTGAGCATGAAGAAAATATCTCGACGACAATGTTGGCAGCTGACAAGAACTGTACATGTTTTTTCGACGAATCTTTTATAACCTGAAATGGTGAAAGCCAAAACAAATATGATTTCGTCACATGTTTTTATGGCCTTCTAAAATCATCAATTATTAGCGTGCAATAATATAGCGAGTAATCTGGAGAACCTGCGACAAGAGCAGCTGGAGTGCGATACGAGTCTTCATTCTTGAAACCACAGAAGCCACGGTTTGCAGAGTATCATCCTCAAGATCCTTAACATCATCATTGATCAATCCATCATCGGAGCTTGTTTCGATATTAGCATAGCATTGAGAATTGTCAGGCAATTTGATGTCATCCATGATTCTTAAAAGCGCCATAAACTCCAACATTGTTGATGTGGTTGCTTCTTTAAAAGCTAGAAAAATTCTTCTCCGTTCATCTTCTGAAAATCTGCTCCCTAACTCTCCTGTCAAACGAGATATTGCTGTAACTGCAGTGTTTGCAGAACTCTTCGTTGAGCTTCTTAGGTACTCTATCAAAATAGATATCACATTCGATATCTGAGGCCTCAGTACACTGTGATGACAAATAAAAGATCTACAAAACAGCGTGCGGCCAGTTCAGAAATTTCAGTGTCCCAAGTACTTCCATCAGGGTGCGAGGATTTCGAAGTTGGCGAATCCTGCTTGTCTTTTACTGCCATGTCTCCCTTTCCGCATGTGCCATTAAATATTGGGAGAACGATAGAACTAAAAACACTAATCCAGAATGTTTGTGAGAAAAGATGACCATGATCCTTGAGGATGTTAAAAGCACGTTCAACGAACTCTTTTGGATGGCTGGTCTCGAGTCTGATGTTAGTTTTGATAAACCTGAAACGACATATCAAAATTCTATAAATTGGAAACAGGAACAGCACTTCATCTTTGCAAAATTGAAAACCAAAGGTGATAAGAAGCAAATTGCCATTCAGAAAGAAACAGAGGAGATATCTTGGCATTCAAGCAATAAGAGTCTAACATAAATTGGGCGTAATTTTGATGGAATAATTCATACGATCCAATCAGGATTGCCATAAAAGACCTAAGTGCAGAATTAATAGTTTAAAGGTAGCCACAGCAGTGGGATGTAAGAAAAAGGCAATCACGGAAGAAAAATCCTGGGCAATGATTTAATCAACCATACTTATCACTTGGGACTTTAAGAGAAAGGAATTGTGATGGGGCAAAAAGAAAAATGCAACAAGGGAAAGGTGACATACACATGTTGAACTCTAGGTCTAATATTACAGTACCCGTCAATCATATAATCTGCTTGGTTTGGTTGCTTAGGTGTCAGTCTCATAAAGAGGCTATTATCCATTGGTTCATTGCAGTACCAGCTAGGTTTTAGGATTTGCAAGCAAATAAACTAGAAAGTTACCTGCTAGCAAAGGAACCCAACAGGATCCATGATCATCAATATCAGTCAAGCTTTGCACACCTGAATCATCCTTATCTACAATTGAAACAGATGAAGCATCATCCGAGCTCTTGCCAATGCAACCAAGTTCTCCCTTAGCAAGGTTGAGGGCACAGAACCGGAGAAATGAAATAGCATTGAGGCTAATATCCACTTTAAACCTGCTATTTGTGAACTTGATGAGGCATCGTACACATTCTGTAAAAGTGGTTGCCTCTGTTTCAGTTACATGAGGAAAGTGTTCTGGAACTATTTTTCCCATTGTCTCAAAAGCCAGCAAGGCAATATTCTTCTGCTCATCTGCAGCAGCAGCTGTAAAAACCTGAGAAAAAAGGACACAATTGAGAGAAAAGAAAGGCTATGAGCTGCACGACAATAGATATCTTATATGAGCCCTTAGCATACCATAAAAACACTTCTCATCCAGATTTCACATTACTAGCACGGCTGAGGACCATCTGAGAAATGAATCGAACAATTAATTCCCGTATTTCTGTAGACTCGCTCTTCTGCATAACAATCACAAATGGTCTCAAGAATTCATTCTGGAAGTTGTAATTTGCAAGCTCCTCGCGTTCTAAGAATTTCATAGCAAGCTGCCACAATGAATCCATCACAAAAATTGCTACAGACAAATTCTTGGACAATCCAACTGAAATAAAGAAATCAGAGAGAGCACTCCACATGCGAGACCAAACTAATCTGATGCGGTTCATATCGTAATGCCTGAAATAGAACATTGCAGAATAAGGGTTTTCCATAGGCACACAAAGGAGGGGTGATAGAGAGAGATGGATGCATCAGAGAGAGATGGCAAATTTATCAGTGAGGCTAAAAACTCAAGATAAGTTGGAGCTAGCATTAAAGGAAATTTATATTGAAAGAAAAGGTAAGACTCTTACACAATTTCAACTAGTTTTGTGAAGCTAAAAACTCGAGGATCCGTCGGAGACTGCAACTCTGACATAGAAACTTTGCATAGGGATTTCACAAATGCAACTATTCCTTCACTATTTAACCTTTGGCTATGTTCAAAAACATGGTTCAACTCAGAATTTCCAATCTGTTCTAATAAATTCAAGTTTGCAATGAGTTGATTAATCTGCTCTGGAGGTACAAGTCCAGAACTATTGACTCCAACAGAGGTGCTATCATATGAACCCCCTCGGACAACTGCTATTACAGCTGGATTCCGGATGCTTCCTTTTTTCTTCAGAGACCGAAGACCAACAGATTTTGATGTAT